GCCCCCTGCCGACTACCTGCACGCAGACGCCGACTACGCCCGCCCAAAGTCGGGAGACTGGTCTGGCTTCCACATGCACAGGGCCAGCACAGACGTGACGGCACCTTCGGTCAAGGACAGTTTTAGCAAAGCCTTTGACGAATCCCAAGCACACGAGAGGGGGCCGCTGCAGATCAGCAAGGAAGACGCGACGGCATGGAATAGATCTACGCGCTCAACAAGCCCCCCGCCAGTGTCGCCCAGCGAAGCCCTCGCCCGCGCCATCAAGCTGTCCAAGAAGCTCTTCACCTCAAACATCCCTAACAAGGTCACCGAGACGGGCGATTTGGAGCTTGACATGACGGGCTACAAGAGCAGCGAAGAGGACGCGTTGCGCGCAGAGGTCATAGCCAGGCGCATCCTCTCCGACGAGCTTGCAGGCGACTATGACATTGGTGCCCTTATTGGCGCTGACGAAAACGGAAACCTGTGGATCTATAGCAGTGAGGAGGCCAAAGCCGCCGCCATGGCCAAGACTTCCGTCAACGTCTTGAACGAGAGTGCCCTCCGCTCAAGTGACGCCCTGTCCGACCCTGGCTACCAGAGCGACAGCGGCCGCAGTGATGACACGGCCCAGTTCCCCCAGATTCGCAGGGACTCGGATAGTGCCCTTGGCATGTCTGCGCCACACTCGCCCGAGTCGCGCAAGAATGAGGCTAAGACATATGCAAAGACGCTGCGCCTGACTAGTGACCAACTCAAAGCCCTCAATCTGAAGCCGGGTGCAAACACCATGAGCTTCACCGTGAATCGATCAAAGTGTGAGGCTTACATGTTTTATTGGAAGCACGATGTGCCCATTGTCATCTCCGACATTGACGGAACCATTACAAAGTCGGATGCCCTTGGCCATGTGCTCAACATGATTGGCCGTGACTGGACTCACCAAGGAGTTGCCAAACTCTACACAGATATTGTCAACAACGGCTACAACATCTTCTACCTGACGAGTCGCTCCGTCGGACAAGCCGATACAACAAGAGCCTACCTCAATGGCGTCGTACAAGACAACTATCGTCTGCCAAAGGGCCCCGTCATCATGAGTCCAGATCGCACAATTGCTGCATTGCGCAGAGAAATCTACCTGCGGAAACCAGAAGTCTTCAAAATGGCCTGCCTACGAGACATCATGCAGTTGTTCAATAAACCCCCAGGTCAAACCCCCTTCTACGCCGGATTCGGCAACCGATTTACCGATGCTCTGTCTTACCGTTCCGTCAACATCCCATCCACGCGCATCTTCACCATCAACTCGAATGCCGAAGTTAGTCTCGACGTCCTGTCTCTGAATTCTTACAAGACTGGGTATGCCAGTATGCGAGAGATTGTTGATCACTTCTTTCCCCCAGTCGGACTGCTCGTTCCCGCAGGAGGCGAAGCCTACACAGACTTCAACTACTGGCGCGATCCACCTCTTGACATTGCCGATTTCACAGATAGCGAAGACGAAGACGACCATGTTGACACGGAAGCGGCTAGCATCCGCAGCGAAGATGAAAGGTCGGACATTGGCGAGGATCTCGAAGGGAGCTACATGTCACGCGACTCGCTTGACGAAACAGGCATGGGTGACTCAATCATGGAGAGTGTTGAAGGTGGAGACTATGCCGAAGGAGAGGAGTATCTTGAGGACGGCCATTACACCGACGATGACGAAGGCACAACCCTGACACACGGAGAGGGTGATGATGAAGTACATGTTGCAGATGGGGTGGCATCCTTGCATGTCAGGGACTCGACGCCCACTCCACGAGCCTTTTCGTAAAGGCAAAGTTTGTTTTCTGTCTTGATTGCATAGCATGGCATCGTTTTGGCGTTGGGAAAGGAGGCCACTATAGCTCACCATCGAGTGATGAATGCTTCATAGCATGTTTGTTTAGTTTCAACACTGTCTATAAATTTAATTCTGGGTATCATGATGATTGACCCAACAACGCGTATGCTTACTTGTAGTTCCAGAACAACAAAAAACATGAGACTTGACTTTACCTCACGTTCATAAGAGTGTAGAGGAGTGAGTTTTCCGAAATACTTCAATTCAGCTTCTAAAATGTGGCTCATGTTCGACGCAGCAAAACTCATCCCTCTCTAATGCCATCTTCCTCTGCTTCAAACTCTTCTTCAATCGTGGGCAACACCTCATATCTACCCGTCTTGCCCATTCTCTTAAAGCACCTATCCGTATGCAGCAAATGCCCCCTCTTGCGCCGGACGAAACCCGCAAAACACGCCGCACTCGATACAATGGCGCCAGCGCTAATGAAGACTGGAATCTTGAACTGCTGCGGCCGGTAAAAGACCATTGTCGTGGCAAAGGAAACGAGCTCAAACAGGTTTTGCAAAGACATTTCGAGGGCAGAAAAGGACCCCCGTGTGGCTTCTGGCGCATCTTCTTGCACGAGATACTGCACACTGAGATCAAACCCCCACAGCCCCAGACGGGAAAATGCCACGCCAAGGACCAAGACTCCGCCAGCTAGCATGGGCTTGTTGTCTAACCAGAGAAACACGCCAACAGCCAGCGCAATCGAAATAAGTTGCTCGTTGATGAACCACAGTCCGGCGCGCACAGCGCTGATTCGGCGCATAAGCCAGGGGGCGACAACAGTGGCGCACAGCTCCAACATGACGGAGCCAAGGCGCATGAGCGACACGTGGGTACTGGTAAATCCAAGTGATAGCAGATATGTCGTCATTTGCGACGCGAAGCTCAGGACGGTCAGATAGAGGAGGGAGAGCGAAAAGGACGCCAAAAAGGCAGGGTTTTGGATATAATTCTTCCACGGCCGCAGGTGGGATGCCACCATGGTTTTAATGACGGGAGGCGTCTGACGACGCGGGGCTGAGCCGGAAGTATTATTGCCATACTGGTGGGACGACTGTCGCATTGCCGTGTCTGCTGTTTCAGAATCACGCTCATGGTTCGGCGGCGGCAACGGCGCTTTTCCGAGCGCGAGGCCTGGCACCGCCGCGTAGACGGAGGCAATGGCAAAATACTCCACCACGACACTGATGGCGTTTTGCAAAAAGACAATCCAAATGGCCAGTCTGGTCGAGAAGTAGCCTTCGACGAGTCCAATGCCGACGGGCGCAATGAGCTTGCACACGAGGTCAATCCGCCGCATCGTGCTGTTCAAATCCTGCCGGTCGATGCTCAGGCTCTCAGACACCACAATGATCCAGTCCCGCTCCACGGAAATGGTGTTTGCAATGAAAGCCAGCTTCTCGACACACGCTAGCATGACACTCCCGACAAACAAGGCATATGTCATGAATCCCTTCTCTTTCTCATGGCCGCCGGCGACCATCCAGACCAGAATGAGGCACGACCCAGCGACGGACAATCTTTGCCACACGATGCTATGTCTTACCACATCCAGTCGATTTCTGCAGTCCACCTGGTATCCGATCCAGGTCCCCAGGACAGCGGCTGCTCCAGCCCGGAAAAGCGCATAGCAGGAAGCAAAGAAGAGGGTTCCGGGGAAAATGGCGGCGAGGAAAACCACCGCGCCAAACTCAAACGTGCGTGCGTTCCATGTCGAGAGTGTATGTGAGACGTAGAGGCGCCACAGCAGCCGTTGCGCATCACCGTCTTGACATCCTGTGTCGCTGTGTGCTGCTTCTGGCGCAGGGTAGGCCCTGTGTGGCGACGACGTCGATGGTGATGGCGATGGGCTCTTCATCATGTTGAATGTGCAGTTGTCGTTACACGAACGACCGGCGATTGTGTATCACGGTAGGACATGGACCGATGACATACTTTCCCTTAATCCACGGCCATCAAAGAAGAAAGATACATTGCGAGGAGAAGGAAAGAGAAGAATAAAAGAAGACCACGCGTGATGGTCACGGGACGGGGGGGTGGCTGGCTGGAAATACGGACGCCTGGGCTTTCCGAAGTCGCGCCCTTTCTCCCGTCTCTCCGTCTATCTCTCTTTGCGGATTAATTAATTCAGTCAGGCGAATTTTTCCCCACGTTTAATCCACTTGGACCCTTGCACACTTTGAACTCTACTTGCGGCTACGGCTCCCGTTTCACATGATCAAAGGGTCCATGTTACTATTCCTCTTTCGGCAATTTTCACTACCAACGAACGGCCCGCAGTAACACTCGGCCATTATTATCTCCCTCCCTCGTCTCTCCTTCGACAACGCAGTTTGTTGATGATGAGGGCTCGCAAAAATAGATTTCCGTTGTGGCGAACGCTTATCTCGACGTTAGCTCAGGGCTCTTGAAACGGCCGGCAAACTAGTGCTAGTTACTCGTTTGAGAAGTGAAGTGATTCGCCCCCCCTTTAGCGACAATGATCTCATACTTCCCCCCACCCGTCAGGCCCCAAAGTCCGTGCGTTTTGTGCAATTTAGTACAATATTTCCCCGGGCCGTGGGATTGGGTCATCTACTCAAAATTACTCGAGTGCACTTGTTGGTTTTGATTGATCCACAGATCGGCTGTCACGAACACGTACGCACTCAGACGACTACATGAATTTGACCACACCAATTATGTCACTCCAAGGACATTCAAAGTCCAATTGAGAACTCATCCAAATTCAATTGAACACTAGCAATGGATTCGCATTAGCTTATTCAAAACCGCTCGTTTTGCTGGCCATCTTCGAAAAAGTAGGAAACACTGCCCAGGAGCGAACCGTCAAGTCATGTGATCAGCATATATCCACTCATTCATGTCACACATGGTCGCGTAGTATACTCAGATAATTGACGTCGAAATTACTTAAAAAAAAATACAGTTCACTTCTCGAAGCAGAGAAGATGAGTCGTACATGGCCGTTCTGGTCAGACCCTATTTGTTTCCCTGAGCACTGAAAACACCATTCCCTCTGGGGGATGCCATACAGTTAGGCAATACCCAATATACCTCTGCATCTGTGCAGCCTCAAAGCTCCCCGTATACGCCTGGCTTAAAATATTGTAAAAAGAAATATCTCTTCGGTGCATCAGCTTCTGCACTCTGCATTGCATTGTGTTGTCCATGTAGATAATGGATCAGTGTTATGCGCCCCAAGCTGTGCATGGCACACTGCCAAAACATAGCGAAGATGGGCTTCCAAGCCATGCTCAAGCTGTTGAAGCATTGAGCGAGGAAATGGATTCCGCAATTCATTTCCTGTAAGCCCTCCTGGCCCAGCGTAGTCGTTTGCAAAATCACCTTCCGGCTCTGTCTGTTTAAGACGATCAGATAGACGGGCCAGAAGCGGCTGGATGCGATGGAGTCCGCCGAGGATCATGTGAGCTGCCATCATCTCGGCTTTGGCGTCACCATCTTGTACGTCTTGTGCGCTTCGCTGGTGGTTGTTCGTGATATATGAATTGCCGGCTCGCTGTGCATGCTTGAGACACTCACGTCGCATTGTTTTGAGGTAGGACGACATGACTTTCGAGGTACATAGACCGACAACGAACAGCACATGAACATCTTGGCTACACTCGCACTCGAGAATGCTGCTCATGGCTTCCGACATACTCTCATTGCTGGCGATGGTATTGACAAGTGATTGGCCTTGCACCTGGCTGCGCTCGCATCTGCTGCCAAAAGAACAGAACAGTTCTGGGAATAGTCGAGAAATGACTGCAGTGCAGTTTTTGGTGCATGTTGGCCTGGGCGAGGATATATCTTCAGGCTCGTAGCCAGTCGCGTGGGTGTCTCCTGCAGTCCCCGGCCATGATAATGGCAATCCAAGAAACTCAGAGCCTAGATCGACAGGAAGTGAACCTCTACCTAAATCACCCAGATCAAGGAAGCCATCGTTCAAGCTTGTCAAGTCCTGCGACATGTGCAAGGCAAAGTCGGCATCATCTCCGCACATGAGCGGAACCGATTGGGTGCAGAGAGCCTTGAAGATCTCGTTGGAACACCATTCTGTCGACCCAGAACTATCGGGAAAAGGGTCGAGGGGTGAGAGGCTTTCCGAAATTGCTTGGCCATCATTGAGGCCTGTTGGACTAACGGTGGTGTTTGGTGTGGTATTTGGTGTAGTGTCGGATCTTGGAGGAGATAGCTGCATGTCATTGTTTTCAATGTCGACTTCCCAAGTGTATGAGCTTGATACATCGCTTAGGGCATTCATGGCAGCTCGGCGCGCCTGTTTAGCTTGTCCGACAGATGTAAGCTTTCTTCCAGCACGCCTGGATTGTTGGTAGACACAAGGCGTGCCTCGGCGAGCACAACGCGCGCACGTTGGCTTGTTCTTACTGCATCGAACCTTTGAGTCTGCGCAATTCTGGCAAGACTCTCTGAATGCTCGTTGCTGCTGTTGGGGTTGCGAAATGGGCGAATACTGAGAGTCAACAATGTCTCCAATCATAGTTTACAAAGCTGGAAGAAGTGTCAATATTTAATGCTGGGTCCGCCATCTCGTGGTAAATTGTCAACTTTTCAAAGCATACCTGTCATCGAACAGTGCCATCGCTACAGGCTGCAAATAGAACGCAAAATCAGTACGTACGTGAATTCAGCCACTCTGAAGAAACTCAAGGGGTACATGTGACTTCCAATCTTCTACACAGAGTCTATGCAAACAGGTATATATCCATGGGGTAAACGTCCCTGACTAGTTTGATCCCAACAATTTAAAGTCCAGCTCTACCTTGCTTGCACATGACCCTGCAGGTAAGACGGTGCTTTGTGCCGGAGTGCGCCTCGAACACCGATACGTACGCCCCCTTCGCCCCACCAGAACCACTCCAAAGTGAAGTCGCATGTCTGCATCAAACAGGTCTATCTGCGAGTAGTCTGGGTGTAGTAAACAGGATACTGTGTACAAATTTGATTTCCGTCTTATATCGCACTGTTATTCGGAAATTTTCGACTACACGAGGTCACCCGCCAAGCAACTATTCGTTTCCCATTCAAGCACGATGTTGGATCGACGGATACTATTTGCCTATACCTTCTATAAAAACCTAATACACCCCTGAAAAGTAAATTGGTGGCTTGCAGTAAACGCGAGCGGCTCGTCCTGATAACCCTTTACAGCACTCGACATGAAGGAGCCTAGTCCAAGGAACGTTATGCCAGAGATCTGGAACAACATCGACCATAACAACACATGTCGACTACGATTCTGAACATGTAGTTCTTGTGGCTGGCATGCGAGCTCTACCCATCAGACCCAAATTGGAGCATGTTTCCCCTCACTATACGCGTCTTTGGGAAGGTTACATGCACACGTTGGTGTACAAGGATCTTGCGAGACGCATTTGTCAATAGGTTGACATTACTGGGTGACCCTGCATTCTTGACTTGAATCGTTGTCCCCGCATCGCTCAAGAGAGTTGAAACCAGCAAATCACTCGATGAGGTTCACTAGTCTTCATGTAAAGCTGCATTCACCAAGTCAGCATCATTCAAGGATCAACCTTCCCGGACGGCTATCGCGCTAACTCGATCATTTCAGGAGATGCATTGCAAAAGATAAATACGCTTCGCTTCTCAGTACTATTCGCCGACTGAATGTAGATGAGGTCATGGAATATCTCATGGTCGAGGTGAGCGAGGTTGCTACCAGCGAAGTTGCAGCCACGTTGTTGTCATTGTGTCCATGTTGTTGACTCGCGCACGTCGAGTAAGTAAGAGTACCGCCCTTGCTATTCTCTGAAATTCAACATGTTTTGTATCCACGGCCGTCGCTCGGAGAGTTCCTATCGGCAATTAATAAGATATTACTTCGATCGATTGTCCGGCGCGTCCATTGCTGCCGTCGACCCAATAGAGAAAGATAGCCGATGTTCTATGCAGCGACTCCCATTTCTCTTTCCGCAATTCACTGACAGAGTGACGCTATCATTTCGCGCCAGGTAGCTGATTGCCTCCATGCGCATGCTGAAGTTCTATGGTGCAACAGCGATGCGAACTTAGTAGCCCCGGCAACAATCAAGCTCTGCAGTTGAGGTGAACTGGCACAAGCACGTGGCTCGCACGTCCTGCTTCAAACGGTCGCTTAGTGTAGTATGTACCGCCTGACGTCCTTGAGCTACGCTGCATAATTGACAAAACAATACGAAACGTTCCAGCGAGTACTTTCTCTTCCTATCTCTCTGCAAATCCCGATCGCATACATAAGCAGTTGTTCTCTCGAGTTCTTGCATGTTCGAAGATAAGAAGGGCCTTTTTTTTCAACAAGATTCAGGGAAGAGTTCGGCGGCACCTCAAACTTAATGCATGGCGACCTTGACTAGAGTGCGCATATTCATTCGAGACAACCGAATTCGAGTACGGGATACAAAGCGCATATGTGTACTCTGTGAGACATCGGGGCGGAGAGCGAACTTGATTCGAGATGGTTCAATGACTTACTTTTGAAACAACGCTTCTGGAAAATTGCGCCAATGCCATTCTACTCATTGATACGTCCGTCCCGGCCGCAAAAATCAGTAGCTTGTTCGTGGTTATGTCCTTGGTGCGCGATACTTTCGAGCAGAGTTGACGCAGAACAAGGGCCATATCCCATAATTCGCGATACGGAGGGAAAGCCTTTTGCTAGACCCTTGTTAGATACTACAATCTAGACATGTGGCTATGTTAAGAAGCATTCATTCTTGGCCATCAAGTGTTTGGCGTAAAATATATGATTTTCGTGCAGATATAATTTGGGATGAAAAGACACCTGTTGTTGCATACGTGTCTGCAAATGACAAATACTCTTCTAGCTGTCTCTAGAAACCATCGATAAAATCTTCAGTGTCGAATATTTAAAGCTACGCATTACTACAGTAACCACAAAGACTGGTGACTTCCAAACGTACGACTTCTTTGATGTTTCTGGCCTTTGCAGAGTCTTTTCAACACCTAGATACGAACCGTCGAACGAGACCTAATACTTCCTAGGACCTTCTAAGTCATCATAGTAGTTGAGACAGATTCTACTTATCTTCCAAGGCTTCTTTGACGAGATCCCTAAAGCAGCAATACTACCTATTTAATGGAATCGTCGAAGTTCCCTCCTTGTTGACAGTTGGTATATTGGCTTCTATGGGCTATCTGTAGTAGTTAGAAACATAGTTTTTGCCCCTGAAATAGGTGCAGGAGTCGATCAAGGAACAAATGAAGAGAAGGCTTCTGTGGCACTAAAACTTAAAAATCCCTTCCTACATTCGGTGCATCGAAAAGAAATTAGGCGTAATGGGAAACTAGGCTTCAATATATAGGGTGCTACTTCTTACTGTTGGAGAGAGAAATTCTAACTCTCAAACTTGCTATTCCTTGAAATTGTGATTAAAGAATATTCGAAATTCCGAAGAAAACCACTCTGTCATCCCTCCTTTCCTTCTCTATGGAACGTCCTCAACATAAAGCAGCATGTTTAGTATCGGATTCTTGTCTGTGTTCTCAGATTTCCAGATCTTGATCTTGTTAATTCTCTTCTTGCCAAAAACGGCCCGGTACTGAATGAACAAGTATGCAGGACCAGCGGCATGAGAACATCCGAGCAAGCCCATAAAGGCCTCAGTTGCGGGTCTCATCGGCGTCTTGGTGGGATTTTTTCCCGGCGTGAAATCAGTGCCAGGCCACATGGGCAGGTCATTCAGGTTACCGCTCTTTTTGATCTTCTCCAAAGCCGTTTCCATAAGGGCCTTTGACTCGTCATACTCAATCTTGGACCGGTATATGCGCTTGACTTCGCTGCCTGCTGCGTTCTTTGTCCACAGAACTGCCACGATGTCAGTCCATTTTGTATCGGGAAGCTCCCAGTCTTCCACATCTGGGGTCCTTGTCTCCCAGGGCGCATAGTTCGAACCGGCAATTATGTAGCCATCTTCACCGTTGACAATGTTTCCCATGGAACCTCCGGTGGCCTATAACAGCCAAGCCATGTTGGTTAGTAGGGTAACAGGTTGCGCTAGCATGACGGTGAGCACTTACTTTTCTTATCCTGTCCTGATCGTCCTTCCAGGTTTGAGAATGCTCCCACTCTGAAGGGAACTCGTTCTCCGTGTTCATCAGACCATCGGCCATTCCTAGTGATTTATGCCAATCATCCGATACTTCTTGAGGAAACTCTTCCCATTCTACCCACCCTGTCTTCTCAAGTGTTTCCAGCGTTACCGTTCTGGCCTGCACGTTATCTGAGTTCATCATGCACCAGGGTCCTGTTATTTTAGTCAGCAAATGATAGGGAGAAGAGAAATTTCTTGTTCGATCCACTTACTACATTTATGTTGTCAGTCGAGGTTCAATCGAATTATGGGGACAAAGTCAAAACGAAGACCAAAAGTAAAGAAAGGAAGCTTGAAGTGCTTTGGTTCACCTTTTGCCGCTCAAAACTTTCCTGTCCCATAGTTCCTGGCTGGCTGCACGAGATACAAGTTCAGGCGAAACATGTTCCTGCGGCAGCGAAATGAGCAAGTCGCTGGATTTTAGGGGCTCGTCCAAGACGCTTCTTTTCTGTATGTCGGACGGCTGTTGGTTGTACAAGCCGTGAGAGAGGTAGGAGCCAGTGAATAACGCAAGGCAGACAGCTACGACGAAAGACCAGTGACGGTATCGAGAACCACGTCTCCTAGACTCGGTTGGCCCGGTGCCATCGAGGATACCGATGGAAATCATAACGAATAGCCGAAGAAATGATATAATCAGCGGATGCAAAGCGATGTAGAAATGTCAGAAATCTCGACCTAGAGAAACGTAAAAGATGTGTTTAGTTGTCAGAACGAGCTTATGAACCACTTATCCCAGTAACCGATAGTTCATCGTCCCGCAAAGCGTCTGCATGGGTTAAACGTTCACATGTGCATAGAATGCTCTCCGGGCCATGTCGGCTCTTTGGTCTCCGCTGCGTCGCAAGGGATCCATGTTCCGTGTGTTCTGGCCGTGTACGGTAGGATGAGTTGCCTGACTTTCCAGAGATCCAGGGCTAGGCAAAATACAGCTGTTGAATGAGTACATGGATCCTGGTATAAGCCAAAATCAGCATACCTCGATAAGTTCAGCTGTGAGCTAACTCCTTTGGGTCGGATGTCTTATTTTTTTTTCGCGAGACGCATGCACCGGGCGTACATCCATTTTTAATTGGGTTCTACATGCCGATAATGCATCGAATCCTTCTGTGGGGTCCCAATGTCCCATTAGCGCCAAAAGAAGCATGCAATATTTGTGGTCAGCAAGGTTTCCATACCACGCCGCAATCTCGTACAGAGCTACGGAGATGGATTCAGGATAGACCCGAGTTCAAAGATCTGCCCAGAGTTTCACAATCAACCTTTCTCCAAGATTTCTGCAATGAATCCACTCGGCTGGGCCGAACTGATTTATTTAGACAACTTCTGAATCTCCATGTTCCTTAATGCATGTGAACACCGGTCTTTTCTTCCTGTTACTAAGCTATGCACCTCGTATATGCCCAAACCATGTTAT